TGCGCGCAAAAAACGCATTGGCGACTGAGGAGGTCACAATCCGGTGGAGACTGCAAGATCCCAGACCAGTTCTTGCGCAGGAAGAAGCTCAGGAGGCCAGGTAGACGGGCACCCAGTTGATCATGTACAGGTGCAAGAAGTTGAGCTTGGGTGAAGTCACATGGCATGATGACGGCACGCTTCAAGGGCATGAAGTTGAAGTAGATCATGGCCAAGTGTTCCAGCCGACGCAGCTATGTCCCCGTCGAGCCACCGGAGCTGGATTGCAGATGCAAGTACCCTGCCAACAGTGCTGCAACATGGTGGCAAGGTCCGAAGAGATCAGCCACAGGTGGCCATGTGCACATTGAAGGTGCTTGAAGAGACCGGACAATCTGGTAGTCGTGAAAGGACAGAGTTGACATTGGAGACTCAGGCGCATCTTGATTGTGGAGTCCTGCAAGTAAATGGAAATCGCGCCCTCGTTATCTGATCCAGGTCATGATCCCTGCGTGGAGCCGGAGGGAATGGAATGGAAGTCAACCCATGGTGGTGTCGTTGATGACAATGGAGATGGTTCTCATCCAGGCAGCAGAAGTTGCAAAGGTGACATTGATGCTGCATAGAAGTGGCCTTGGAGGGAACATGAATCCCTGCAAACTGGCCTGAGTAGTGCAAGGCGTACGCCTGAATGTTCACTGCTGCTGAGCACAAGTGACCCTGTCGTCGTCGAGGGCGAAGGCACAGGAAGCATGGGTCCCGTTGCCGCCTGCGCATAAATTCTCGACCCGCTTGGACTGCCCGATCCGCCAAGTTGCTGTGACTATGGCGTAGATGAGTAGTCAGCTCCTGAGTCCTGGGAACGAATCGTTGGCATAGGATGCACTTGGAGCTTAAAAAGTCCCTGAGAGTGTCGTCTTGCGCAATGGCTTCCCAGGAGGCAGCCAGCGAATGATCACGAAGCTGCCTTTGAGCACGTATCAAGTCATCTTCATCATCCTTGGACGGGTCAAAGACGAGACAGGCTCGATGTTGGATGTGAGTACGCAGGTGTGTCCAATCATGAAATGATTTCAAGAAGTGTGAACAAGTCGGAAGGCCTTTCAATGCATCTCTTGCTTGATCAAATCGAACTGGGCGCTGCAAAAGCACTCTGTGGTCCTGCATGCGATGTATGGCCAGTAGCGTCCGGCTCAAGAAGTCGGCCTGACATTCCGGGCACTGAAAGCTGGGACGAAGAGTGTTGGTCGTCAGTTCAAATGGTTCAATGTTCCAGTGTGCAAGCAAAGCTGCAAAGTGCTCAGTGGCTAGCAATGGTCTACGATGGAGAATGTCATCCGCATTGAGTGGGTCCTGCCTGTGCTCCAGTCTGGTCAGGTGGGCGTCAACACGGGCGCGAACGATCTGCACAGCCGTTGGCAGGCCGTGATGGCAAAAAAAAGGCTCGGTGGGACCTACCAGAGTAGTACGGGTGATCATGATAAATCTTACGAGGCATGGCCGTGATTGTGGACATGAGGAGATTGCAGCCTTTGGTGGAAACTCCAATATCGGGCAAAGCATACATTAAGATGCTTAGAACACAACCCTGCCACAAAAGAAATCTGTCTTTGATCAGCAGGCATCTGGAACTCATGAGCCACTTGCGGAGACGACGGAAGGCATTCCAACTGCAACGATGCGAGCACGGACTGTGGCATCAAGGTGGTCCTTGTAGTTGATTACCATGCCGAGATACACTGTCTGTTTGACAAGTTGAATCAAAGAGCAATTGCCTTCACGACGAGGAATGCACAAAAACCATATTCTTGCTGTCCTTTTGGTGCGCTGGCGCAACAGCGCCGCTTGTTGGGCACCTTTAACAGCCAAAACGATTTGGGTTTTTTCCACGTTAATGGTCAACCCTGCATCCGTCATGATATCAAGTATTCTGCCAATTTTTCGAAGGCACTCACGGAACTCGGCGGCACTGTGAAAAATGTCACAAACATGAAAATCATCAGCGTACAGGTTGAGGGCATTATGGATCCAATCGCCAAATTCCTCGAAACAAGTGGTCAGCAGAGACCACATGGCTATGCTCCACAAGGTGGGCGCACAGGGGCACCCTTGACGGATGCCAATGGCAGTTGGGACACGGTCTTCAAACCGGCCATGCTGTACAATATAATGAGTGTCAGTGTGCCACTCTTGGATCAGGCGAGACAGCATGGGAAGGGCTTCAAGCTTATGAAGACTATGGTAGAGAAATTCTCTAGGAATGGCATCGAAAGCTCGGCTTAGGTCAACGAAAAGTTGAAGTCCCCCGCAAACCGGTAGGATTGGACGCCCATCTGCAATGACATGAGGGGTCTTGCTGGAATGTAGTGCCAGCATGTTCTGCACTCGAGTGCAGTGTTGCGAAACTCTGGCTAAAGCATCCCCTGTTCCGCGGCCGGAGATATATGCCCATTGAGGCATGGTGACCAGCTTGCTGAAGGCAAATGAACGGAGGGCTCGTGCAAGTAAGGTCATGACACACTTGCCTAATGGTTCTTGCAAGGCTAATGGCCGAAGGTTTTTGGGATGATCCGGAGGCTTATTGGGTTTAGTGAGCCACACCATCCATCCGTCCTTCCATGTTGAAGGGATGTAGGGCGGAGTCAGTGCCCACCACTGTTGCAGCAGCATGTACAACGGGGACGCAATCTCAGTTGAGAAGTGTCTGAAGGCACCGCCCGAAGCATAGGGGGAAGCAACTGCTTTAGACCATTTGATATGACTAAGTTCAACACGCAACTGCTCTTCGGTGAATGGCATGCACCCAAAAGGGGTGGTAGACAGTGGCGGTGTCCGCAACCGAGTCAGAGCTACTTCACATGAAGGCGCTTTCCAGGTGTCATGCACAAAACGAACAAAAGCAGCTTGTGTTTCCACTGGTCCAAGTGGTTGGCCATGAGGGTCTCCGGACAGTTTTGGGGGGCCAATTGATTAATGAGTTGATATGCTTTATATGTGTCATGACACTCCAGAGCCTGTACTGCTTCCTCTCTCAGTGTGTCAAGTCGACGCTGGCGCCACTCCTTGGCATGCAGACGTTTGAGAGAGCTGATGCGACGAAACGAACTGAACAAATGCCATGCGCCAAATAGGCCCTTCACCGAGGCATCATTGCGTTGACGAAGCTGATGCCACATGGACCATTTTTGATGGACAAGAACCTGTGCATCAGTCCATGCAGGTTGCTTCCGTTGGGGCTTAGGAAAACAGTCCTCGAATGCTTGCTTTAATCTACCATGTGTCCCCTTCAAAGCAGGTTCATTTGCAAAGCCTTCAGGACGAAGAATGTGCCTGGCTCTGGTAGCAAAGGTATGCCACGAAGCATCATCAGTGTCCTGGGTGAGCAAGTTCTCTTTGCTGCAAGGAAATGGTTTTGATAGGGAGAGAACTCATTGGGGGTATGTGATAGCTGGTGGCTTCACCAAGCACTGCGAAGTCAACATGCGGTCGAAACTCCTTGGCCGTGGAGTCAGCACAAATGGACCCGGTGAAAGCATAGGCATGGTCCAGCTTGGAAGTGGTCCTGCCATTGGTGAAGGTGCCGCGCATCAGGTTATAACAATTGAGCCCACAGAGCTGATGTTGCCAGGGTGGTTCCAGGAAAGGCCCGAAATGCAGAGACCGGTGCTTGTAATGGCAATTTGGGGAGTGCGCAACCGAAGCCCCCTAAACACAGCAACATGTGTCTGGACGGAAGCCATTTGAGAAGAGCATCCAAGGCTCCCAGATTGTCTTACGCTTACGAATCTGGTCAGAGGTGGCTGTCCCTGCAACCTGGTAAACTGTTACAAGATCGATAGCCCTTGGATGTGTGTACAATCTGACATGAATGACACGGCCAAGGCAAATCGAACAATGCGCAATGTCCTGTGAGGAGCAAACGGTGGCACGAATCATAACAAGAATTCCAGCGTGGGTCTCCTGGTGAGTGGCAGCACTGATATAATGCCAAGTTCCATCACTCCAGTCCCTTGAAGAGGTCCAGTGAGTTTTAACCAGGACCAGGATGTCCAAGAGAGTCGAATTGGCCCACAGGCGGATCTCATCAAATCGATGTCCCGGCAGACCTCCACAGTTCCAAACTCCATACCGAAGGTGAGGAGATGTGGATTTGGGAAAGCATGCTATCGGCCAACGCGTGTATGGTAGAGGTTCAGGGAGCTTCCAATGCGGTTGTCCTAAGCTTCGAAGGGTATGAGTGTGACCACGATATTGAGTAACCCCGTGAGTGGCTGCGTTGTTACAAGCTTTTCTGTACGCACGTTTACGGGCCTAGAGGCTTGTGGGTCCTGCTGGCGTCTTTCGTCCCATCGTGCGGAAGGTTGGAACGAATGTTGTATGGACTTCTGCTGTGTCCCAGCAACACAGCAACCCTTGGGCATCCAAGGAAGGTGCCTCCAATCTGAGAGGCATGGCTATCCAAGTGAAGAGGAGCCAACCAATGATGACCTTCCCTGCCAGGGATTTGGGACCCTTGTCAGCCGTGCCGCCTGCCACGGTGGTGCATCTTCTCTGCTTTCTAGTACGTTGCCAGGTGCAAGACCAGCTGTGGATGTATCCGAAGGAGTTCACCAGGAACGGAAGGTGGATCTCAACAGTCAGGACGTAAGAGATCAAAAGGAGCCAGGCCGCAGCAGCGCACCAGCCAAGGTACTCCAAGGTGTACATCAACAACTTCTTCAAGATCTCGTGGATCTCATGAGCAGAATGTTGGGGTGCCGCACCAGCCCGCGGCACCGTGGGCAGGGCTTGAGCAGCTGAATGCGATGGATGGATGGATGGATGGATCGATGGATCGATGGATCGATGGATCGATGGATGGATGGATGGATATGCACATGTCAGCTCAGATTCTGCACAAACATCTACACTTGTTGCATCTCAGTGAGGCTTAAAAAAGATGCAGAACACACTCAACGTGTTACAACACTGCGCTAGACTCAACCCTTTTTAGTCCAATTCCTAAAGCGGAGTGACTTGGCCTAAGCCAAGGGCAGGCATCCAGGTTCACAGAGCATGGAATTCGCGTGGCGTCTCCTGGGAAGCGTCCCTAATGCTCCGTCTGAAAGGATCAGGGTGCGAAAGCCGCCAACCTAAATGTGATGGAGCTACTAGGAGCAGGACGCTTCTAGGGGCTCTCCTGGCCTTACTACTAGGAGCAAGGACGCTGCTAGGGGCTCCTGGCCATACTACTACGACCAAGGACGCTACTACGGTCTCCTGGCATGACTACTAGGAGCAAGGACGCTACTAGGGGCTCCTGGCACTAGGCTACGACTAGGGGCTCCTGGCCTTACTACTTACTAGGAGGAGCAAGGACGCTACTGGCGCTCCTGGCCTTACTATTAGGCTACTACGGGCCCCTGGCCTTACTAGTAGGAGGAAGGACGCCACTAGGGGCTCCTGGCCTTGCTTCCAGGAGCAAGGACGCTACTAGGGGCTGCTGGCCTTACTACTAGGAGCAAGGACGCTACTAGGGGCTCCTGGCCTTACTACTGGGAGCAAAGATGCTACTAGGGGCTCAAGGACGCTACTAGGGGTCCCTGGCCTTGCTACTAGGAGCAAGGACGCTACTAGGGGTCCCTGGCCTTACTACTAGGAGCAAGGAGGCTACTAGGGCTCCTGGCCTTACTACTAGGAGCAAGGAGGCTACTAGGGGCTCCCGGCCATACTACTAGGAGCAAGGACGCTACTGGGCTCCTGGCCTTACTGCAAGGAGCAAGGACGCTACTAGGGGCTCCTGGCCTTCCTACTAGGAGCAAGGACGCTACTAGGGGCTCCTGGCCTTACTACTAGGAGCATGGACGCTACTAGGGGCTCCTGGCCTTACTACTCGGAGCAAGGACGCTACTAGGGGCTCCTGGCCCTCCGAGCAAGGATGCTACTAGTGGCTCCTGGCCCTCCTACTAGGAGCAAGGAGCTCCTGGCCTTACTACTACGAGCAAGGACGCTACTAGGGGTTCCTGGCCTTCCTACTAGGAGCAAGGACGCTACTAGGGGCTCCTGGCCTTACTACTAGGAGCAAGGACGCTACTAGTAGCTTCTTGTTACTGTAAATTGTTGCATCTGAAAGGATCGCGCCACATGCAAGCCGCCTTAAGAAGGCCAAAGCAGCACGCCTCCGGCAACCTCATGAAGCTCATATCCAGTCGCAAGAACACTGGACTGGCCGGGCACAGGCCTTACATCGTACTGCAGCTGCCACCCTTGGAGGCTCCTGGCTTGCTCAAGTCCACCTGTCAAATTCAAGGCAAGGTTGCTAGCAACAACATTCAATTCCATCATTCTTCTGATGTGACTATGCAGCTGCAACAAGTTCAGATGACCGTTGCTCATCGATGAGTCATGGCCTTGTCCTCTTTCAGCTTCATTTCAGGCTCTCCCTCGACATATGTCAGGGAGAGCCCGTTGGCTCAGTGTCGCTCGCCGTTTGGATTGTCTGGCTTGAAAGAATCGAAGAATACATGGCCTCAGACAACAAAGAGTCTAACAAATGGTAACAAAAGTGCCTTTGAATGCAGAAATCGGGGGAAGATATTCATCACGCAACAGAAAAAAAACCTACGAGACTATGTTGAGAACCTTCGCCTTCGTTGCAAACCCTCACGACTCAACCGACCTGGGACCCTCCCTTTTCCAACTTGGCGACCCGGAGTCGCTGTCGCTCGAGCGGCCAAGGTGGGAAGCACATCTGTTGCAAACGATTTCCAAACCACCAAACTCTGAGACGGTGCCCACGTGGCAGCCGCCGGCATCCTGGCGGAGTCAGAGGTCAGAGACCAGAGTTGGTTGGGACACATCTAAAATATGGGGTGAAAGATATGGTCCAGGGCCTAGGGTTCCCCATCTTTATCAGTCATTTGGTCCTTTGAAGGCACAGAACGTTTGACTCACTGATCCATCTGAGGTTGATCCATCTGAGCCTCGGAGTAGTAGCAGGTCTTGAAAACTGGCCAACCGCAGTTGCTTCGGAACTTGGATTTGGCGGAGTAGAGCCTCGCAATGACATGTCTTGAGCCTAGCAGGTTCCATCAAATATCTCAAATCAAAAACTGGGGGACGCTGGTTGGTCACCGAAAATGAACAAATAGACTGCCAAAAAGGTCAATCTACCGGGGTCAACAGGCTCCAGGTTTTGACTCACAGCCAAATACCTAGCCCATCCTTCACCAACAGCAGTTGCGAGGTCTTGCTTCTCTCCAAGACACGGCAAACCGCACGCTCCGCAGGCAAAGTATCCCTGCGACGGCACCGGGTGATCTTTTGACAGTGAACAGGACATGTGCCCAGCGGCCACGCTGTGCTACCTACCCCCCAGCCTTTGTTGGCATGAACCGATCATACTCGTGAGAGCCGGGTGGCTCTGTCCCCTGCTGTCGGAGTACCTGATTGCCAGAACACTTCAGGGACCACGCACACAGCTGGGAGTTGGAAACGCACCCGATAACGTCTTGGGTCCAGCTTCTGGCGCCACTGATCCTGGCGAAAAAACTGATTCAGCTTCTCTGCAGAAGTCGATGTCTTCAGCTGTTGGGCCTCTGAGACATTGATCTGAAAGGACTTCCCCTCGAGAACCTGGCAAGCTGTCCCATGCATGCAGCTGTCGGCCCAGCAAGGCACGACAAAAAAATGCGCATTGCATGATCATGTCAGCTTATATAGATCATCTCATCACCCGGCAACACTTACAAAAAATGAATTTCAGCAAGAAGGACTGTGGGGAAGACAGCATGCCCAGCATGACTGCTGATTGATCCTTGACTTGGTGACCAACCCCGGGGCACCTTTTGTAGCTGTCCGCTTTCTTCAATTGCCATCAGATCGTCACAACCACCCAGGCATTGGCCCTTGACGAAGATCTTGGTGCGGTCAGGCCCGAACAACATGGAAGCCTCCTCACTTTGCTCTCTTGAACTTGTTCACTTACTGAGGGCGTTGAATGCCCAAGCCAGCATCATATTAAACCAGCCTCTCAGGTTCAGTACTAGCAGTAAATGCTGCAGAATTACGAGGGCTCAATAAACCTTTGCCCAAAAAGAGCAATGGTTTACCAGAATAGGAATTACAAAGGCAAAGCTTCTTCAACCGTTTAACAAAAAGTTGGTGTATATGATATCGCCCTTGCGGCACGGGAATGCTGCAAAGCCGCTCGAGGCACCGTGCGAGCACGCGTCAGTTCTGCAAAGGTATCCTGTCGGAAACCAGAAAAATCCCGAGGCTTTGGAACAAGGTGTCAATGGAGAGTCCTGCATGGCAGCGCCTTCCTGCAGCTGGTCATTTCAGATTAAGTGATTTATATGATTCCAACCCGAGGGTTGGCAGGTACCATGTGCACAAATGACTACAGAAGTTGCGTTCATTCTATTAATTTCTGTTTTGCATTCCCTTTCATTTCATATAAAACAGAAATTAACTCATTCACTTTCTTCTATTCGTACCAATAGACGCTTGGTCAGGGTAGTCTTTATATTATTGAAAGAAGTGAATGGTTTTTATTGCAACGCAACCTTGGCACGCCGCCTCTGCCGGAAGTTCGTCCAACTCAACAACAACGAATTTGCTCCCTGTGGACTTCAAGACTTCTTTAGCCTCCGTAGATTTTGCTCGACACGCCAAAAAAATGACATACAAAGCTTGATGTTACGTCAGTCATGCAGTCGACAAGCCATGAGAAGCATCCAGCCTGACTGCAGAATGGGCAGGTCGTCTTCGAGAACATGATAACATCATGTTCCTGTTCATCCCAATCACGACACGATTGTCTCGTCCGAGCTTCAAGCTAGGGTTGCAAAAAAAAAACAGGGCATCCCTTCCTTGCCAACCTTTTGGTGGAAATGAACACATCCTCTAGTACCTATGGCACACCCTGAAAAGCAACCACAAACAGTAGCTCTGCCCGCACAGTACATACAAGCATAAAGCTGAATCTGAAAAAAAGTGAGTGACATGCAATGACAAACAAAAGCGCCCTATGCACCACAAACCTCATTGAACAGTTTGCGCCCTATGCACCCAAAGACCTTTAGATGAGGGCGCATCTTTTAGCTGTGTGGGCCTTGACCAAGTTCTTGACTTTTTCTGAAGGAACCGTCGTGGTGGAAGTGGATGCCGCCCTTCGACTCGTGGCCGAAACAACGCCGCCTCGGTCCGTGTCAGACCGTCAGACAGAACCAACCCGCCGTTCGTTCGTTGGCTGTTTCACCGTGTTTCGACCACCGTAGCTTCTGGTTACTGGTAGCTATTTGCTCCTAGTAGTAATGCCCTTTGTTACTATATAGTAGCGATGCCC